TACTTTGTTTTAAAAAAAAGCATTCTAGCATTTTCTAGGAGAAAAAACAAAATTTTTACAAACAGTAAAGCAGATTCTTAAAACTAAAAATAGTGCATAACTTTTAAAATCAACTGTCGCATAAAGTACCTGCTGAAACTGAGCAGCGCACTGTTTAGGTTGAAAGCAACCTTCCTATATAACAAGTGCTGGAGACTGGCAGTCACTTCCGCTGCACGCTGATGGCCCTGCTCCCTGCTGTGGGCTTGCCTGATACGGGTGGCTCTCTCACCCCGACAGCGTGGCAGTGCATGGGAACAGCAGAAACCACGTATCCTTCACGTTACACTGAACAATAAATTCTGGGGCAGCAAAAATATTAGAGCTTCTTTTATGACAAAACTTGGAATCGGAATAGCTCAATGAATCATTTATGCATAACAAACTATGTGGAAAGAACTGCTGCTGGTTTTGATAATGTGGAGAGATGGCTGGCAAGGTAGACGTTGATACAGATATACACATAAACACTTGCACGTATAACACATACATCATATATAGATTATCATGATACAGATTGATGTATCAGTCTATATCAGTGATTCTTTCCACATACATACATACATGCCTATGAGACGCTACATTGTGAGCCAAGACAATTAAGCTCTTTGGGTTACCTTTTCCTGTGCATCAAATGAGTTAAACACACCAACAAAAAACAAGGGATCTTTTAGAACAAGTGATCATAAGCTGTTACATGAATGGCAAATTTCATCAAACAGGAAAATTTTAAGTGCTGTATTTGATCCACAATGCACGGAAACGTTATAATTTTAACTGTGCTATGGAAATATACTAAGTTCCTTCTGAAAACTGAATTCCTTGAAAATAGCTACGGTAAATTTCTATATTTATAGTTATTTCACAATATAAGTTCTACTGAGATTATCTTCATTTGATTTAGCAATTTTTTTTAACTCTAGATAACAGATTATATATTCAATAACAACAGTGATATTCCTCCTCAAATACCAGAAAGACCTGCAAAAAATAGGGTAGTGTTTTGTTTTTTTAGGCTGTCAAATAATCAAAAACAACAAAAAAACAAAACAAAACCAAAAACTAGGAAAAAAGTCTTTATTCAAATACTCTTAGTACAACTAATAGGAAAAAAACCCCACTAATGCTACACTGCATTATAAAAAAAGAAAAGAAAGAAAAGAAGGAAGAATCCCTTAGGAGTATTTCTAATTTTTTCTTCACAGCAGCCTCAGAAATAATTAAGAATATAAAGCATTTTAATAGTATCTTCATAAAGGATAATTTTTTAAAGTTAAAATTCTATATTGGTTATATATAAATGCTGGAATTGCTGTCATTAAAAAAAAACCAATAAAATCCGCTTAAAATAAATTTATTGTACAATACAAAAAGTAGGCATACTAGAAAATAAACGATACATTAAATATACAAAGCAAATGAAAAGAAAGCTAAATAACACAAATGTTTTAATCCAAACATGAAGATTAAAATGCACAACATTTATGCTAAAAATAAAGTATTTCAAGAAAGATATACATTTCAAATGAAATGTTAATGATGAATGAAAAGAAAAACAAATACGTTGACTTCTAAGTGCTTGAATATCAAGAATCAGTAATGGCATGAAACATTAATTCCAACAATACTGGGTACTTTTTAAAAACTGTATTTGAAAAGGTGTTAAAAACACTTAAGGGATTAAAATAATGTCGTTAAATCTGGCAAAGTTCTCCCCCATTTTTGCAAAGTAAAGTTGGAGGGCCTATTCACAATACCTCCCTGTCTTCCTTCTGCGCCTTCCTACACATCTCTGGATGCCCCTCCTTAACCAGAGGCTATAAATACAGTAGCTTACAGCGCCCTACTCCGCTGGTAAGTGAGCAATTAGCCTTACCAACATAAAAAGGTGCCACAGATTAACAATTTTGAAATCTATACAAATATGAATACAATATGAAACATTAAATTTTCATTTATAAAGTAAAACTAACCTACAAATAAAATAGTAAAATGTAAGAATTTAGGACACGAGGGGGCGGGTGGGGGATAACGCCTTTTTTGCAAACTGTCAACTAAGGCATTCAGTTCCCCAAACTACAAATGGCTCTGAACGTATACTGTCCCAGGGTCTAGCAGAGGTGAGGCCTCCACACACACTCCTCTCCTGTGGACGGCTACACCAGAAGAATCCAGTTAAAATACATCTGTACATTAGAGGAACATTCAAATAACCATAAAGTCCTTGGGAAAATCCTCTAAAACCTGACGTAACATATAATTTAAATAGAAAAGTTTTAATACTTATGTTAGACCAAAAGGCTTCTGAACAACACCTTTGGTAGGAAACATCTTTTCCTAATATCATGGTTCCCAAACTCAAGAAATCATATGATCACGAATTTTTAAATCTATATTTGCATTGGTATCTAAATGACCCAGTGAAATATTTCTCGCTATCCTGTATTTACTTTTATTAGACTTTACCTACCACAAATATGCCATGACACAAGAAACTATCAAGTTCTCTTTCTAGATCCCACCCCTGCACCTCCAAAATCTACAAGTTTAAAAATGAATTAACAAAAAGCACCTGGAAGCACAGTTGTGGGGAGAATAGAGATGCATGGAGGAAGGAGGAAGAGTGAATAGGTCCTACAGAATTTTATAATCACTTTGCCAAGACAGACTTTAAATACTTTTAATTCTTTGAAATCAGATTGTGTAGAACGTATAGTTCTTCTCTTAAAAACAAGTTTTGATTCTCAATATTCCATTTTTATAACCAAACAAAAGGATTCATATCTAATAGGTATTTTAGTAGAACACTCACTACCTTCAGGCTCAATTTCCTAAGTACTCTAAAAGAGTTCCAATAGAACAAACTTTATGAGATGTTATAATTTGTCATAAGAGATTCATTAGCATTTGTAAAACCATTGGAATAAAATTACTAAAAGCTAAAACCAAGATTCACCGATTTTATTTAAATGTAACAGAAAAGGCTATGTGCATAATAGAAAATAATCAGGTAAACATTTCACTTGAAGACACTCTGCTCCTTCTGGTGACCATAGCTTCTTAGCAGAGAACATGTCACTATCTTGTACCTGAAATTCTTTGGCTGGAATGTTTTAGTAACATAAGACACTCCTGTACATGACAATTCTGACAGCACATAGGAGTTGCAAAGTAAAAAGGCAAAGACAAGACTTATAAAGTGTTTGGTAAAATTTTAAATGAATTTTTTAAAATTTAAAGCCAATCTATCACTAAAAATGGCATGACATGTAAACATAAGCTAATTTTATAATCTGCTATATTAAAAAATTTGGGATTCATTATTTTACCTTTTTAAGTTTTCTTTTTAGCTTAGAAATACTTTTTATTGCCACTAAAGACATGTCAATTTCAAAACTGGAAAAGAAGAAAGAGAATGTAATGAAACTGATAAGTTCAATGTGTGGGTTTTAGAACCAAAAAATTACAAATTTCTATTACTATTTTAAATGGGGTTACCTGACTCCATAATTCAATTTTTAATTATACCAGGACAAATTTTAAATCCTTTTAGCGTTTTTTAAAATAAAGCAAATTTGCTTTACTTATAAATACTTTTTAAAAACTGACAAATCTACCTTTACACAAAGACTAAAAGGAGAAAAAGTTTTATGGCTTAGCAGCAAAGGTTGAGAACACAAAAAACTCATATAAATATTTATATTATGCAAAAACACTAAAGATGTGTGAAAGGTAAATGAAGAACACTCTGAAACTAGCGCCCACTGTTTTAGCTTTTCTCGCCCAGACTCTCCATTCTATAAACTACAGTTGTAGAGATGTCCTCATTTGACTCAGGTGATACTTTTTTCCACACTGTCTCTTTTAAAGCAAGTTCTTGTTGGAGACTTTCACAGTCCAATGGTCCCAAGGAATGCTAGTTGTTCAAGCAACATACATAATTTATTAGTGCACTTGAGTGAAGAAAGGTCCGAGCTATAAAATGGTATTTTTCAGTGAATGTTATTAAAATCTGCTCACATTTTCACCCACCACCATTTGATGTTAGCTTCATGTTATTCATATTCATGTTGACTCTCATGGGAGTTTCTACTGTGTTGGTTCTAATTTTCATATTTTATTATAAGTGACTTTGATTGCAACTAATGACATGAAAACTTACTTAGTTTATGCATTAAAAGATTTTCTTTCTACCTATAAGTGCTTCATATAAGCTTCAAGTCTAATTAGGTAATTTTATGACATACATTTTCCATACAGTTGCAAAGGAATTTAATTAAAACTCAAAACAAGTTCCTTACTTCAGTGAACAACAATGAAAACAAAAAAAATCTTGTTCCTGAAATTTAAGTCCTGATTCCTAATCTAACTCTAAACAACTAGTGTGTGTGTTTGTGTAATATGAAGCCAAGCACACTAATAAAAAAATAGTACGAGTATCAGGGATACTGCATTAAACACTTTTTGTAGAAAAATATTTCAACAATAGTGGTTATAAAACTTATGAGGCTTTGTATGGTGTCTCACTAATACTGTAATACCATAATCCCCTTCCATTTACATATCCATCCACGTCAAAGTAAACTTCATTCCAAGACTATATAATTCTAGACAAGTATTAAGAGTAAAAACAGGCTTTCTTCTTACAGCATGTAGCGCTTTCTAACGTGTCTTGGCAGAATCAAGTCTTTAAAATATTGCTTAAAATAGCAAAAAATGGGAAGAGAGGAAACCCTGCTGTTAGGCTAACCAGTTTCAATTTAAGTAAAACATCAATACTTAATATCTACGAAGTACTGGCCCAGGATAAAAATGTGAACAATTTGTTTTACACTTGTTTGCGATCAGTACAGATATGAGGCCATTACCAATTACACTAAATTTTATTTAAACTGGTGAGTCTCATTTTTCTCTCTCTTAAAAAAATATTGCATAACAATCTAAATAAGAATTTAGCTTACCCTTTGATCGCCACCTTCTCTTCGAGGATCAAGTTTTTTTGCAAAGTGTCTCAAATTATCATAGTTATGGAAATTACACAGAGAAACAAGATCCTGTAAATAAACAGAGCCAGGTATAAGAAATTAGCTATTCACTGACTATTGTTTCTTCATAACTGAATAAATTATAAGAATGCAGCCCAATTTAACTACTATCTCCTACAAAGCACTTCTGCATGTTACTAAAGCAACACGATCCATCAAGAAGAGGACTGAAATAGAAGAAAAGGATATGGATACACATTTTCACATTTTGAGATCACTGCTTACTAGCATGATCACAGGACTCAGCGACTCAACTTGTTTAACTTTCATTTCCTATAAAGTGAGCATTATAGTAACAGGCCATATGAAAGAATTCTTTCAAATAACCATAAAATAAAACACCACAAAAAAACAAATACATATTCTGATTACAGTCTGTTATAATCTGCAAACAATCTAGTATCATTCTCTAATTTTTATAGAAAATAAGAAACTAAAGATAAATCAGAGTTTTAATTAATAAAGTCTGGAGAAAAAATGAAGACCCTGGGAAGTAATAACTGTAAATAAGCTGGAAGCTAAAATATTAGCAAGAGTTGGGTCACAACATAAAACACTGAACTAGTCAAGAAGTGTAATAATTTTAAATTGCAGTGCCTGTTTCCTCAAAAAAAAAAAATACTTTTATGGATAAAGTTATTCAACCATGCAAGATTAAAGATGATACAATACACTATAATAATCTTAATTTATATTGGGTTTCAAATTACTTCTCCAAGTTGGTGTGTTTTGCTGAGCTTTTGGAAACCAAAAAGTAATTACAACCATAAATAGTAAAATACAAGCATCAAAGAAAATTAATTTTTTGTGAGAATGGTTCTAGGGGAGCCCTCTATGAGTGCTAGGTAACCATGAGTGCTACCATGGTTACCTAGTAACTGGCAGACAGGCAGGCAGAGTGCCAATAACTAATAAACTATGAAAATGAGTAAAAAAAAAAAAAATAGAATCATAAGATGGCTCAAGTTATATGATCATTATTTCCGTTGAGAACACATGCTTACGTGACAGAAGTGAATTCCCTTCACACTGTTGCCCATCTTGTCCAGAGGGGGTGACCAGCACATCATGCCCATGACGTTTGGGACAACTAAAAGAATGCCCCCAGCAACTCCGGATTTTGCAGGAAGACCAACCTGAAAGTAATTTGAAAAAAGGACCATTTATGTTAACATTTTAAAATAAGACAAGTTATTATGTCCAACAATAACATAAATGGCTTAAAAGTCATGGTGTATTTATTTCTATACAGAATTCCAACTTTAAAAATGTTGTGGGCATTTACCAACATGCTTATAATATGGTAAAAGAAAGACAGATATTGAACAGTTGGGATGTATTTAAATGTAGAAAAATTTGAAAGATATTCTAATTTGTGGGCTGTTTTTTTTTTTCTTTGTGCCTACATTTTCTAATTGTTTTTATAATAAACATGTACTGCTTAAGTGTAAAAATGATTTTCAACAAATATTTTGACTAGAAAAATAATGAGAATTTCTATCTTCTTAAAAGATTCTCTGTGGTATAATGTCAGAGAAATTTTGAAGAATAGAGATAAGATGGTAATTCAAGTTAATCCTCTTAAAGACATTTACCTTTACATTATGCAAAACTTGATAATAATTATGATAAAAGACAAAATTAATGGCTTACTAACATTCAAACAATGAGTTCCTCTTGCTACAAATAATCTTATATAAAACCAAGTTAAACAAAAAATTCACCTGAATGGGATCTACCGATTCACAAGGAATACAACGGACAGTAAGAGCATCAGCAAATCTAGACTGTGAGAAACTGTACAGGATAAATGACCCAGTTTTTTCAACCCAAAATAACAAGAAAAAAGAGAGAAGGCAGGGCGGAAGACTATAGATTAAAGAAGAAAAATAGAGGGAGATACAACCAATCATAATTGTAAGGCACTATTTGTAGCCTAAGACAAAGAGAAAAAAAATAATTTAGAAGACAGACCTGAATAGTGATGAAATATTTCGATGATATTAAGGATTAAGGTTTTTTGTTTTTTTATGTAAGAAAGATGCTGTGGGTTTAAGAGCTGCTATCACTTAGAATTACAGACGCAACTATGACAAGGGTGGAGGAAGCAGGTATACATACAGATGAGACAAAATTGGTCATGTATTGATAAATATTAAAGTTGAGTGATGCATAACATTAAATAAGTCTGTTTTAAAATAAAATAATCATTTTAGGGCATTTGCTTATTGATATAAACAGACTGAAATAAAAAATCTACACATTTTACAAGTGGCAAATGCACAACAGAACTTAAAACAGTAGATTTTTAAGTTTTAACTTTAATATACTTTATGTCCTTTAAAATATCTGTGGATTTAACCAAAAATGTTAAACATCACAATTATGCACTATTTCTGAACTTAAACATTAACAGTGAAAGCAGTCTATACTAACCTTGTATATTGGAATGCCTTAAAAGAAGTGATGAGGTTCTATAAATAAAACTTCAGGTTCTTAAGAACACCTGATAGACTGCTTAACAGTAACTCTATTCCTTACCAATTCTGTAACAAATTAACCTTGAAAACAAGCCTCTCTCTCAAAAATTAATGTACAATTTGAGAAGCAAAGTTCAAACTGCAGTTTTAAAAGAACTAGTCCAGACTAGCTTCTTGACAGAGAAAATTAAGATTAAACAATAACTTACATGGAAAGCAAACTGCCCTGAGAAGTCATACATGCCACAGGAATGCATCAAACTCAGCGTGTTTCGCACCGCTTCTGGGCTCAGTACTCTTTCACCAGTAATTGGGCAGAAACCGCCATTAGCCAGTGTTGCAGCCATCACACTAGCTGATTCACACGTTACTTCAATGGAGCACAACTAAAAGGAAGCAAAAAATGAATTCTGAAAATCTAGGCTCACATTATTTTTAGTACTGCATTTGATTTCTAAGATAATCTATTTTATCTGGCTTTTCATACAGATCTGAAATGATCCCAAAGGGGTCATTTTAATATAACTTGACATTCTAAAGATTTTCATTTGAACAAAGTTCTAGCCCCTTTAAGGTTTATTCTGATTTTCCCAGTTATTCAGTCTTTTAACGGCAGAAGTAGGCTAGGAAGAGCCAGGTGCTACACCAGGGGTGGGCAAACTTTTTGACTCGTGGGCCACAATGGGTTCTTAAACTGGACCGGAGGCCGGAACAAAAGCATGGATGGAGTGTTTGTGTGAACTAATATAAATTCAAAGTAAACATCATTACATTAAAGGGTACGGTCTTTTTTTTCAATAGTTTTATTCATCTCGGCCCGTGGGCCATAGTTTGCCCACGGCTGTCCTACACACTAGTACAGTGGGGCCTTGACTTACAAGTTTAATTTGTTCCGTGACAGAGCTTGTAACTCAAATTACTCGTATGTCAAATCAATTTTCACCATTACAATGAATTGAATGCTGGGCTGATGTTGTGGCCTTCACTGTGACATTCGCTGCGCCAACTAGCAGTGGGGTATCTGAAGTTGGCTCATAACCTGAATTTTAGCTCACAACTCAAAGCAAAATTTCGGCCGAGAGACGGCTCGTATCTCGAAAAACTCGTTAGTCGGGACACTTGTAAGTCAAGGCCCCACTGTATTTGTAACTGCTCCATGTAATATTCAGAACTGCTTAATATTTAATGCTTTCTCTAAGATTCACCAACATAATTATTAACTCAATAGGAAAAAAGGAGACATGACATATTTTTTAGATAAAGCAGTATACTAGGTACACCTACACAAGAAATTGCCACTTTAGAAAAAAAATGCTAATTGCCTGACATTTTGCCTATAACAAAGCTCAGCATCCCCATATGGCAACATGCAAAGGACTCAGTGAAGAAAAATCTAAGGCAGCTCTAGCCTGGACACATGTGTGCCTAAAGCAAAGTGCCTCCTTTTAACCATCTCCTGGGTGCTGAATGTAGAAAAGCAAAGCCCAGTTACAATGTACAATAAAATGTTTGCAGTTAAATATAATCAAACTAATGGAAAAAGTTTACTATACCAAACCCTAATTTACCCATAAAACCAAAACAATAAATATGGTCTATTTAATTTTTAATTAACAGCAAACAAAATGGGTGAAAAGTAGAGGAGAAATAGGGCCTGGAGAAGAGAAAGAGAAAGAAAAAAAACTGAGTTCTCTGACTTAGAAACTCTCTTACTCATACCTCAAGATCTACATACAAGAGGCGTAAAGGGGTTTGAAGACAGCAAAAAGAAAGACTAATTAACTGCAATGACTGGAAGCCACTTTTTTACTGACTTTCACTTTTGCCTATTTATATTAAAACCTCTTCCCAGTTCCCCCAAAACTACAGAATCCATAGTTACTATCCTGACTCACACAGCAAAGACAAAGGTTGATGTAATCATGAAAACCTTTCTAAAATAAATGAAATTTAAATTCTAACAATCATTTCTTAATTTATACTTAGTATTAATTGGAGTTTTGTGTGTCATAAGGTAATACACTCCTAATACGACAAATCCTAATTTAAGAGTATTTTCCTGATACCCTGATGAATGTTTAATTAGATGCAGCCCTTCTACAAAAAGTAGTACTTCTGTGGCTGTCTCTTGGTTTCTGCACTGAAGTGTAGAAACGTCACAGATTTAATAGCATGTAATAGCCAAAGTTAAATATGTATACCAAAGGAAAAGAACTTACACATATAGAAGAAATTCATATGGGCTAGGGGGAAAAATAAGGGCTGCTGGATAAAAGTAAATATTATACTAAATAATAAACTTCACACCAATAGTCTCATGGTATTTTCAATGCAGAAAGTTAGGTCAAAAATATTCTACAGCCCTGGCCATCATGGCTCAGTTGGTTGAGCATCATCCCAGAAGGTTGCTAGTTCAATTCCTGGTCAGGGCACATGCCCAGGTTTTGGGACCCATTCCCAGTAGGAGTGTGCAGGAGGCAGCTGATAAATGTTTCTCTCTCACATCAATGTTTTTCTCTCTCTCTCTCCCCCTTTCTAAAATAAAAACGTATTTTTTAAAAATGCTACAGAAAATGAAACTGGGGCTCAGTTTGAAATTAGGTTAGATGGCTAAAAGGGGGCCAGGTTAGATCTCGATTTTAAAATGACAAGATAGCTGGGGCCTGGAATCATGTGTGCCTAAAGCAAAGTGCCTCCTTTTAACCATCTCGTAACATTCAAATATTTATTTGATTTCGCAAATTTTTCTTTTTTTAATTTACAATTTACAGTTCTTCACATTGGGCAGGTAACAAACTGTGATCTGGACTTCTATCAAAATCTACTTCAGAACAACTTCCCTAATATAAATTCTTTAAGATTACTGAAAGGTTAAAATTGAAGCATCTTCAAAAATAAAGACAGGCAAGCTAGAAATTAATAATTTGTTACTATGTAGCTTCACATTACAGACCCATCAGAGGCACTAATGGTATTAAAGTGATAAAAATGAATGAGCTGAAAGTATGGGGGGAGGGATGTCCAGGAACACTATCTTTAATTGAGTCTATACCACAACAGATGATGAGTCTGAAGAGAGTGGAGCTTGCTGTTCTACCTTAAAAGAAAACCCACTATGTGACTGCAGAAGCGAACTGAGAAACTGCAACTAACTATGAACCGTCATTAGCTCCTCCGAACAAAATGTAAAAGCTAAGAAAACAGAGGTCAATTCATAACAAGAAGTTGTCAATTGTTCCTGACACTTCTTAAATAGAATGTGTTTACAGAAATAAATATTCCGTTACATCCCGAGTCATGACTTTTTAGGAGATACACACATGACAGTATCTTTCATGAGTTTATTCTTTCAAATGTCAGTGGGAAATGTATTTTCTCTTAGCTCACAGACAAGATTTCAGAGATATCTATATTGTGCTAAGTGATACACCCATTTATTTGTATACACAATTCATATATTTAAAGTAAATTACCTGGAAATAGAAGTCTAATATACCAACCATGTCTGTGCCTTCCGGAAAACACTGAAAAAAAAAAAAGAAAGGCAATTAAAAACATAGAAACACAGGGGGGAAAATGCAGATATAAGATTAAATTTTAAAAATGTAAATTGATGTTTTATTTTAATTGAGAACAAAATAGCACATAACCTAAGAAAGGGTATAAACATGAAATCACAAAGAACAATAAAACAAACTAACATCACATATAGACTTCTAGATTCTAGTTTAAATGACAAAGATAAACTGATTCATAATTCATAAGCCAAGTTACTGGACCAGCCACTTAAAATTTAAAAAATCAAGTGTAATCAACAATAGCAAGGCATTTATTTGAGTAAATGGGTGAATCCTTACACAAATTTGCATTAACATAACTAGTCAAATATTTGAATACTGCCAGATACAAATCATTTTAATAACATGAACACTTTGATAGCATAACTCAAGGTTATTTTGCAAAAAATTTTAAATCTTAAATAGTAGATAACTGTTTAAAATCGATTGTCGAGTTCTTAGCATGTATCTTCATATATTTTATTAACTAAAAGAATAACGAAATAGAACAAAAGTTAAAAACCTTTTTCTCTTTTAAGTAATATCCTATTGCAAAATTTCGATCTCCACTTTCTCTTTCAGACTGAAACCTAGAAGAAAAAATAACATTTGCTTTATGTTTTGTAAAAGTATGGTTCTGAAGCTTAATTTGTATGTGCAAGTGCAGTATAAAGAACATGGACCTCATGGTCAAGACTGCTAGCCATGTGGCCTTAGGCAAGTCATTTCAGTGACACCTCTTTCCATCTTAAATTTCCCAGCCGTAAAAAGGTTAAAAATAAACTAGGCCAGTGGTCGGCAAAACGCAGCTCGCGAGCCACATATGGCTCTTTGGCCCATTGAGTGTGGCTCTTCCACAAAATACCGACTTCTGCGCACGGGCCACGAAGTTTCCATCGCACTGTACATGCACGCCTGCACGTGGAATTTTGTGGAAGAGCCACACTCAAGGGGCCACAGGGCCGCATGTGGCTCACGAGCCGCAGTTTGCCGACCACGGAACTAGGCTCTTTCTAATCCTCCTTTTTTTTTTTAAATAAAGAAGCTAATTACCAAACATTCCACCATTAAAATGCACAATTTTATAGCTCTCTCAAAAGTACAATAGTCAATTCTAACTAAGGGAATGCATGGACATTGCCCTGAGGCGGGGACACATGAAATGGGCCTTACAGCATTCACTGGATTAACAGATTTCAGATGGAAGCCCAGGCAGCAGCACGAACAAAGTTGTACAGGTATAAAATACGGCATTTCATTGAAAAATAGCAAATATTCTGACATATCTGGGAAATGGGATTTATGAAGAAGAGTAGAGAAACATCAAACAAAGGAGGAGAGAACCAAGATGGCTGCGTAGGCAAATGCCTGTATTCACCGCCTCCCACAACCACACCAAAATTACAACAAAACTACAGAATAACCATCAACCAGAACTGCTGGAAAGCTGGCTGAACGGAAGTCCTACAACTAGAAAACTGAAGAAGGAAGCGCACTGAAACTGGGAGGTGAGAAGGTGCAGGATGGGCTGGTCCGGCATCCACGGGGGCTGCACTTGGGAGGGAGAAAGCCTCTGTGGAGGCCACCGGGAGGAGCAAGGGGTCCCAGCCCGACACCAGGAGCCCAGCCCAGGGTCCCAGAGCTGGGGACAGAAGTTCCTACGGGCAGTAAGAACTACAGGCTGGTTAAAAGGCTGGCACCCTGAACTGAGTTTACAATTACAAGCTCCCGCTTGCTCTGAGCTCCAGTGCTGGGCGAGACTCTGGGGGACCCAGATCCATATGGGGAGAAACTGGACTGTCTGGCATCAAGGCAGGAATGTGGGGGCGGCTTTCTTCCAGATGGAGGTGCTCTGAGCCGTTTTGTTCCTGTGCTGGGACCTCTCTGGTTGCAGGGCTGACTGGCAGCCATTTCTGTTTGCTCCGCCTGGTGATTCCCTGAGACGCCGCCCTACACAATTTACAACCCCACCCAAGCTGTGGGAACGGCTTTTGCATATGAAGGGCCTGTCCTTTCTCAGGCCTAAAAACCTGTCAAAAAGCTGCAGCTGGGTCAGGGAACCCCAAACCTATCAAAAGGCCGAAGACCCAGCATGAGCACCAGCCTGCCTTGCTTCACAGCTGGGCCTCGTCTGGGCACTTCCAAATCTGATACAAAGAGGAGGAATCTGCAGATCTCTCTGTAGCTCCTGCTGGGTGGCCCCAGGCAGTGGCTGACTTTGCA